TGTATTAAACGTAGACGTGTGCTGCACACACACACATACATACACGCGCACACACAGGCATATGCGAATATATCAATATATGCATGCGTGTGTGTATGGGCGCACACGCGAGTTTCGTGTGTATGCGTGCATAAAACGTTTTTTGCGATACATAGAAAAAAAAAAAAAAAAAGAAAAAAAAACACGCTGAATCTTTCTTCAGTCCAACTGTCGCAGGCTGGGCTAGACTTGAAATATTCTTAGTGTGTATCAATGTGCTTTATGTCCTTGTTCCTGTTCTTGTCCATGTCCTTTTGGATGGGTCAGGGCATGATTCGGCTGAGATTGATGGGACTCGTGTAGAGAGGCATGCTACTTCTGCTCCAACAAAGCAACCTGTTCCCGCCCCGCGACACTCTACCAGGTCGTCCATCAAAACAGACTTTCATCTAGACTTGGCAGATACCCCGTACACGCCTTACAGTCCGAAAACTGGTAAGGCGAGGGACGAGCAATCGAGACCGGTTCAGGGACACCATTTTTCCCCGGATAAGAACAGCCCGACGAGTAAGATACCGGTGAGAGTAAAGAAATCGATGGAGAACGGGAGGGCGAGCAAAATCGAGTTCGACGATCGACGATCGGATTTTGCCGCGACGGGAAATCGGGAAAATGGCGACGACGACGAGTCGCTCGGCGAGAAAGAGGCGCGGCAACCCGAGGAGGACAAGGAGAGAAGCGACTCTTCCCTGAAATCCGAACCGTCGAACGAGACCCAGACGGGAACCATAATAGAAGAGACGTGCTGTCCCGCGCTCCCCATCGACGAACACGAGACCGCTCTCGTAAAGAGAACGGAAACCGTGACCACCGTGATCAGAGAGGAAACGAGGGATCGTCCATCGTTCGTGGACGAATCGACGACGAGAGAGACGTCGACCCGCGTGGAGAACTGGCCGCTCGATTCGACGACGATATCGAAACACGACGAGAGAGGGAAGACGGAGGTGATGAGAACGACGGTGATGACGACTGTCCGATGCACCACGACCACGGAATCTTATCTTGGGACGGATCGAAGCGAGAGAATCGTGGAAAGAACGGAGCGTGGAAACGGCGTGGATTACGGGGACGATACGGCCGCTATACCTCCCACGATGAAAGGTCGCGATCCAATGCCGTTCGACGTCGAACAGGCGTCGGGTAATATGGTAAAAAGCGACACAGAGTTGTCCGAGCCGTGGGGCCAGGCCAGCCTGTCGGATCGTTCGTTCCCGAACGACGAGAAGGTAGAGCAATGGGAGAGCCAGCTCTCCCAAGACACGTCGCCCGGCTCCGGTAACGGTGACATTTATACTAAGAACGGTAGCTCACGGCATGATTCGAACAGCGACACTGATAGTGACGGTTCACCAAGATCGAGGAGAAGATCTCCGAGCAAGAGGTGTACATTGGGCAGTTCCAGCGGGTCTGATGTAGCACTGCACGAAGGTGCGGAGCTGTCCCCGTTGGAGGACGACCAAGGTACCGCACTCACAGCTAACCTTCTAAGTAAGCAATGTACATATCCCGCTAAACCAACTTACCCACACCCCGAGAGACAATCATCTCAATTTCCGAGAGATTGATGAATTCGTTCTGCGGTTCTCTGTATCGCTTCTTTCTTTCTTTCTTTCTTTCTTTTTTTTCCTGTGTCGTCTATGTACGCTTTCTTCCTCCTCCCCCCCTCCCGCCCTCTCTTTTTCTTTTTCCGCATGCCTCCTCCACATGCGCACATTTGGTTATTGGCCTCTTACTCGTTTCCGAGTTGCGTAGTTACGTAAGTAGAGTAGCGGGCTTTGTAAAATCCTGATACGTGCACGCTTTAAAGTAAAGGATATGTACGATGCTTATACACGGTTTTATTCACGGTTTGATCGAAGAATTGTTACGAATGTTGCAATCGAATCGAGAAATTTAATGTCCAACACGTCGAAAGATAGAATTAGATTATTAACCATGAAACATAGAGCGTTGGAAAAGATGTTTGGATGGAATGTTTGGATGAATCGTAAGTTTCAGGGTAGATCTTTCTTTATTTGACGACTACGCTGAAAGTTATGAAAATTAAACGAACGAAAAATTTTAATAAGTTGAGAATGGACAATATAACAAATTTTTATATCATTATTGTTAATGATGTTCAGAAAAAAATGATAATGCATTAATAATGTTAATATTCGCTGCTGAACGTTGAAAGTTTGATTTTTTTTTTTTTTTTTAACTAACAAGAACGATTGTATAACATAGCTATTTTGGTGATAAATAGAAACATTATGTCGGTGACTAACTCAATATACTGTTTGTGTTATTTTTGGCACACGAGTGTTGCATGAGCTTAACAATTGCTTGCATAACAATTATAACTCGAGATGTATTTGCACAAGGTGGAAGGATTATTGATGAAAAAAAAGAAAGAAAAAAAAATATGATAACTACTCGCAAGGAAAAACAAAGCTTGTGAAATGCAGTGATAAATCTGCATTAATTGTGTGGTTCTTTTTTTTTTTGGAATTTTTCTTCGTGGAATTATCGCGGGCAGTGAGTAATTACATCATAGGGGTGGTGATCGATTCAATGTGCTTCGTTTAAAGAGAAGTTTTTACCCTCTTTTTTTTTTTCCTATCGTTGGTTTTGGTTAAACGGACAAAGTTGCGATCAGGTGCTTCTGGGACTAGCATACTTTTCACATTGACGTTCATCCGCAGTCAAACATTTTACACTTGGAGAGCAAGCATTTTGTGCAAACTACGCATCCATATCAAAAAAAAGAAATATTGTATTTTAGTTTGCAATAAAATTAAATTTTGAAAGTAATTTTTTTTTTTTTCGTTACACTTATCGATAACGAAATACGATATTACTTTTTTTTTTTTTTTTTTAAAAAAAAAAAAAAAAAGTAATTTCGTATTTTGTTATCGAAAAGTGGAACGAAAAAAAAAAAAATTCTTTTAAAATTTAATTTTATTTGCAACCAAAAAAAAAATTTTTTTTTTGGTTGCAAATAAAATTAAATTTTAAAAGAATTTTTTTTTTTTTCGTTCCACTTTTCGATAACAAAATACGAAATTACTTTTTTTTTTTTTTTTTTTAATCAAACAGATCAGATCTATCAGAAAATTATGGATTGACTTGTACGTATTTATCATACATTCAAATGGCAAAATATTAATAATATACATGTACACAAAAAATTCTACATACGAGATGTTTCATATAACTTGTTTAAAAAATTACACTAGAAATGTTCATTTCAAAAAATTCAGCATCGAAGTCATTGGGTAATCCTGTAATCCTGCATTGGTCATAATATACTTATACGTGTCAAATATCTGTAACAATTCATTAAAAGGTTTAATAATGGCGAAATCGTTCAAACAAAATTTCTTTTTCGGCTTCGCAAAATCATCAAGCAAAGCTTTACATTGGGATCAATTTAATTCTTCGATTAAAAAAAAAAAAAAGGAGCATAATTCGTCAATAACAAAAGGGACATAACTCAATAGTTGATCATCTTTCGAATTTTATACTTTGTTGAAACGTTCTTGAACGTTCTTTGTTAACTTTTAAATTCTTCTTCTTCTTCCTCTTCTTCTTCTTCTTATTCTTAAAAGAAAAAAAAGAAAAAAAAGAAAAAAAAAAGAAAAAGAAAAATCAGAAGCATCATTGCGAATCGATCGATCGAACGCGTCGAACGAGAAAATAGCTGCTAATTATTCTCTTCGCATTATTTCGCCCGCTGTTTCTTCATTACTAATCACGGCGTGGGATCACAGAGTTCAATTTGAAATCAATCAATCTTATCATACACGAGTATCATAAGAAAGCGGATAGAGGAAACTCATAGGAGGACGTAATGTTTTTAAAGCGACAGAAACAGACGGTTCGATACGATCAATTTGTTCGAGCGCACGGCGAAGTACAGTAGAGGGAACGCCTAGGACCAAGACTCCCGGTAGATCAAGCTGCGCATATTGGATGAGCGTAGCTGCCGCTACATTGGTGATTCTACTAGCAATATTAGTTGCCTTGGAGCCACGAACGTTCCAACGTGCCATCTACATCCTCTCTTACAATATCCCGAGGCAAGCCGGGTACGGATTTACCCTTCATTTTATTTATCTTTTTTTTTTTTTTCTTCTTTTCATCAGGAAAGATTAAAGATTTGAAAAGATTTGCGCATATCCCATGCCCAAAATTTGTCGGTCAGGTTTTAATTAAATTAAACTTATCCGGGTTAAAAAGCGTGCGTGAAATTTTTCGTTGTTTGAATAAAAAAGAAAAAAAACACGAGTTTTTTTTTTTACACGTCTCTAGACACATCGAAAACAAGAATGGGTATATATATATATATTTTTTTTTTTTTAAAGTATGCACAGTCCCAGAGAAAAGTTTAGACGATTCAAAATGCAATGTATTTAAGATGCAATAACAAACGCAATAATGATACGAAATATAATAGGTAACACGATTTAATTATTACTAATTTTAGAGAAATTTTTTTTTTTCTAGACGAATAACTACAACAATTAAAAAAAACTAATTTTCCACTATATATATATATATATTGGTCTAGCTTCTAATATCTTAGAGCATGTAACTGCAAAGCGAAATTTTGTTCACGTAGGTATCGAATATTTCGGCGAGAATCTAGCATCGTATTGGTAATTTACGAAGGACAGGTAATGGAACAAATATATAAATTTTCAAAAGATCCGTATGCAAGCTTTCTTTTTCTGACATGTATGTCGATTGATCATGATACAGGCGTATCGTATGTACTGCATGATCTTTACATAATATTATATGACACTTCGCATGATCTTTATTGCATTATTATTATTATTATTATTATTATTTTTTTTTTTTTTTTTTTTTTTTTTTTTACATATAAAAATCTTTTAAGTTTGTCTCCTGCGTTTTTCTCTACAAGGCAATAATTCCACGATATTTTTCCCCTTTCCCTTTTCAATAGCAATTTCTTTTTTTTTTTTTTATTTTTTTCCTCCGCCTGATGCACGTATACCCCTCCCTCCCCCCCAACTACCAGAGCCCGAACAACTAATAGAGCTCGAATTAATTACCACAATTAATTTTAATGCGTCCTCATAGTTCTCACTATTTACCCTTTCTAGCTCTTCTGACTCAATAAGCAACTCAAGATAAAGCTAAAGTGTAGAGGGACCAACAAATCGTATTTTTTTTTAGTCACGTTAGGATTGTTAGGCGAATCGTCATGTAAGTAGCCTTTATCTATGTACACGTACGTGTGTGAACACGAAAACCCATTTTTCACACTATACAAAAAAAAAAAAAAAAAAAAAAAAAAAAAAAAAAAAAAAAAAAAAAA